GCTTATGCTCTTCTTCACTGGCGTCTTCGTAGAGAATTACTTCATGCAGCATATGCTCAGGCGTACGTTCAAAAATTCCTGAAATAAGTTTTGCATCGTTTGTACCGATCAAAGGGCGTCAACGTACCTGTCAACATTCGCAGCAATACCGATAAACATTCATTGTGGTGAACAATGACTATTGAGGTCGAAAATTCTGCGTCAAATGTAGTGTTGGCGCACCTGAATATGAGCATATTCTAGCCTAACTCATCTCGATCAATAATTGGTGCTTACAATTTATGGGCTACAACGCCAGGATTTCGATCTATTCCAAGTCGATCACTTGCTAGCGAATCGAAAGCGAAGCTTTTCAACCCGAAGGTCTGATAGGTTTTTTGCTGAAAAACATGTGGTAAAAAAGCCAATACACTTGTAGTTTATGCCGCTCTTCACTAACTGTAGCTAACAAGGAAAGGTCGCCCACTTGATCGAAGTGGCGCTCAAAAAGTAATGCATACTGGTTAGCTGAAGCTTGAAATACTGGTTTCAAATCTGTTTTCCAGATCTGCGATACTTTTCTGCGGAAGAAGCTATGAGAGTTTTTTTGGACTTAAATTAGCCTGGCGGGCCCGTCAATAATTGCTCTATAACATCAAATTCAGCCTTAGACCTAAGTAGGGGTCTTTTATTATGAAGACATTTTTTCGTCAGTATTTAACCTTTGCGGTGCTATTACGGGTCAAGGTCGCACTTCGGTGCGTTCCTCTAAGACATTTTTGGAGAAATACGTCTTCAACTTTTCCGAGAAATGGTTCGCAGATATGGAAAGCAGATTTGGGACTTATCAAGTTACATTTGCCGTTATTTATTTTATTTTGAATCGCCACTTCGATTAAGCATATTCTTCTTGTCATTAAAAAGCCTACGAGCTGAATTTTATGAGAGAAATATTTGCCAGAGTATGTGACCGGACGCATTTTTAAGTTCTTTAATTCCTTTTAGCCTCATCTGCCTTTCGTTCAAGGAAATCCAACTACAGCCTACCTCTTCTGTTAGATCCTCCTCAACGCTTGTGTAATTGCAATTTGTTGGCCTGTACTCCATCCATTTTTCTAGGCTGAAAGAAAATGTTCGAAAAATCTAATTTCAAGTTGTCTAATTACTCACTTTTTGTAAGGATTTACATGAGGACATCGAGGAAGTTTAGGCTCGTCCGTACTGCCCTTTCCACTTGACTTATCCTCACCCAATGCATTTGCATAGAGGAGAAACAGTAGAATGACTGCTCGCATTTTTAACCTAAAAACGTTGTTTCTTTTATATGGTAAACCATTTCTGGTGGAGGAGAATGTACTGTGCTAGATTTTTAGAGCAAATTGAATGGTGAAAGAGTTGAGAGCCTCAAACTGACGACACTGAAAATCGAAAAGACTATCAGCGCATATATAAACCACTTCGTGTATCGAATATTAGGCGATTCAAGTTTTCACCTTTGCGGAGTTTACGGAAGATCCTTTCAGAGAATGTTGGGAAATGAGCTACGCTGAAATAGTGGATGATCATGACATACCCTCGTAAATAGCAGTGCTATCAGCAGAAATGGGTGAGTTTTTCTTAGATTCATTATCGTCATGCAACTGTGCTGTGTTATTGATCTTTGTATTCAACTTAAAAATAAACTGGAGTCCAACTTGCTCGATCTCAACTATTTCTGACTGCAACTTCTTGAAGCGCTTAATGATATAATCCACACATGTACCATATGAGATTGTACCTAGCTCAACCGCCTTCAAGACTTACCGCAGCCAGTACAAAACTCCGCTTCTAATTCGTCTAACCAAAAAAAATTTAGCTCAGAATTCAAGGAAACTTTGGTGAGCCTTTTCTTTGGAGTTCTAAGCATTGAAAATGTTGCAAAAAAGGTATGGGAACGTATAAGAATTGTTACTGAACGCATTGAATTCATTTTGGATCTACTCTCATAACAGAATTTTCTTCTAATAGGTTGGTTACTTCTGTCTTGAGTTTCAGTGAGCAATGTTATTGATACGATGTAGAAAAGATCGAGCTAAATTTCATAGCTGCACAAGATGAAGAACAATTATTCAAATGAGATCGTTTGAGATCATGTTTGAAAATTATTTGCTAAGAGGGTCCAACACTAACATATTTGCCAAGTATTATTATCAGAGCTTTCAAAATTACATAATTAGTTCTTGCCTATTGTTGGAACAAGCGATCTGGAACGAATACGAAAGCAAATAGTCAATGAAGAGTAAATGTGTCACCAAGATAATTTGTTGTACAGAGGACTACTTTGATTATCTAGAATCCGAACCGGTTTTGGAAAGAAATGTTAGTTTCGGATCTGCTACTAATGAAATTGCATCATAGCAGTGTGCTACAAAGACGAGCGGGGTAAAAGGAGATGCAGTAAAGTGAACGGACACAGAAAAGGAGAAACCCTGAGAGAACGACGTGCGTAGAGAATTGGAGACGGCCGCGGAGTAAGACCTTGAACTCATTGAAGGGTATGTTGGATCAATAGAGAAGTTAAGATTTTCTAACAACGTAGAGTTGCTAGATTTTAAAGCAGAATTTGATAACCTCTACGAAGTAGCTTTGATGCTTAATTTGAGGGAGAAAATACTCCGAAGCCCGAGGATATCTGTAAACTATCAATAAATATTTTCAAATTGAAAACAACATTTTTACTGGGAGTCATTGCTAACGAAGAACGTCACAAATCCAAAGCTCAGAAGGTGAGGGTCCAATGGCAGGGCAAAGCGCATTATTAGTTAGAGGCAGTATTAGAAGTAACTTTCATCAAAAAAAAATATTTGCGACAAAATTTAGGAAGTGTTCCGTCAATTATCTTACTACATGTTCACGTTCCTTTTTGAAGGTCACTGCTAAGGCTTATTAGGACGTTCACCCTTTCTACAGTCTGTATGAAGTCATAAAATGTCTTGATGTAGTAAAAATATGGCTTTTATTAGTAGTATTTCTTTGGTTCAGTCATAGGCTGCTCTCAACAGTCATAACTGCAAGAAACTAGCTCAACCAACTGATCCAATCAACCCAACCAACCAATCAAGAGCTAGCGATTGTGATTTATTCGCAGAAGTGATATTCATGTTGAACTTTTTAACACATATCTTACATAATCTTAAAGCATAGATTCCACATACATATCTTATCTAGCAAATACATCGCAACTGATTAGATCTGAAGCAACAAACGCTTCAGAATCATCTTCAAAACTAACCTACAACAACCTACAACTACCGATTTACAAAAAGCTTACTGAAGTATCTCTTATGTTGCACATCAAGGAGAAGTAGATATCTAATTTTTTGCTCTGATTAGGTGAGACATGGAGCCTAAACCATGCTGAAAAAAATCTCCGGGATTTTTATATGGGTATTCTACCCTTTTGTTCCCACCACATCAACTTCAAGAGCCTGCAAATGCAATGAAAAAAATTGGATAAAAATTTGCGAGAATCTTAGGTGTGATCCAGAAATAAGCCAAACTTTCACGTCAGCCATTGAATTTCTTCTCTTGTCATATCAGTTTCCAAATTTTCCAACCAAAACGGAATTTCTTGCTCTTTCATCCGAGTGTAAAAAAACCTCCTTCGTATGCTCATATGAAGTTTTCATAAGCTCGGCTTGAAGCCTTAAAGCCTTGTAGCTCCATATGTGAATAAGTATTTCCATCTTCACAGCAGGTGGAAAATATTTCCATCTGCACTAGAAGGATTTTTTTGTAGGCATATGGCATTAGCCATTCACTATACATATGTAAGGAATTGGCCAATCACGATATGAGAGAAAATGCAAAATGTTTTTGAAAAAATTTTGAAAGCAACTATAAGCAGCAACTATGTACTTTATCATATTGTGAAATTCCAAGAGCTGGTTTTCAACCCTAGATGAGACTAGCATTTTCTCCAGAAGGTATACGTATACGGACCTATATGAGTCCCATAAGCGGAAACTGCAAAAACTTTGATGGCTTCAGCCCCTTCGGGGACATAATTTTTGCAGAGTACAAGAATGCTTATCATATAACTTATTAGAATGGAGAAGAATTCTATGACGAAAAAATTATTTAAAGCATATTCTTGTTAAAGCGATTAGTGAACTCATATGACTTCGCACATGTAAGCAACTTTAGCACATCTTGGAAGAGTAT